GGAGAGTTTCCTAAAGACTTTTTGGCTAGTCATATCCCGAAAATGCATTTGCCTAGAGATTAAAAAAACATTTAAGATCTGTTGGTCTTGGCTAGAAATGGTGCCTTTTAATAGTTTTAGGCTGTCTGGTGACAGAATCACTTGGTTACTGAAAGTGGTTCCTGCCTCAGTGTGTGTACATATATGTATTATATGTTTTTGGAGATCTTAACTCAACTAGTTAGCGCCAATGTGCTCATAAATTTATGGTGGCATATTCAAGGTTTCTAAACAAGTTTGCATGTATCCTAAACAGACATGTTTCTTCTCTGAAACTCATCCTATCTGCTGTCTAAAATCCTCACCTGTGTGTTTCCTGATTCCCACTGTAATCCATGCTGAAGCTCACAGCAAAGCTTTACAATCGCTTTTGCACAGCCCCTGGAGACCTCTCCCAAAGGGGACAGCATTCAAAGCTCATTTTACTCATCACAGTGCTTTTTCCTGGTCAAAAAATCATACCTGCCATGATTTGTGCTAATACGTCAGTCTCTGATGGCCGCGAAGCCACACATAGAATTTGAGGGTTGGAATGGACCTTACAGATCATCTAGTCCCAACCCCCTGCCATGGGCAGGGACACCTCACTAGATCAGATTGCTCAAGGCCACACCCACCTGGGCTTGAACACTGCCGGGGGCACGGCAGCCACCACCTCCCTGGGCAACCTGTGCCAGTGACTCACCACCCTCAGAGTAAAAAACTTTTTTCTGATATCTAACCTAAACTTCCCCTCCTTCAGTCTGAACCCATTACGCCTTGTCCTATCATTGCAGTTCCTAACAAAGAGCTCCTCACCAGCTCCCTTGTAGTTCCCCTTCAGATATTGAAAAGTTGCTGTGAGGTCTCCATGCAGTCTTCTCTTCTCCAGGCTGAGCAGCCCCAACTTCCTCAGCCTGTCTTCATAGGGGAGATGCTCCAGTCCTCTTACAAACTTTATGGCCTCCTCTGGACTTGCTCCAACAGTTCCATGTCCTTCTTATGTTGAGGACACCAGAACTGCACGCAGTATTACAGGTGGGGTCTCACGAGAGTAGAGGGGAAGAATCACCTCTTTTGACCTGCTGCCCACACTCCTTTTGATGCAGCCCAGGACATGATTGGCTTCCTGGGCTACCAGTGCACACTGCAGCTCATGGTGAGCTTCTCATCCAAAATGGGTGAGACTTAAGTCAATATTATTTTTCAGCATATGTTTTGTGGCTTTTTTTTCTGGTTTTATGATAAAATAAGTTATGAGGGATAATGTTATGTTCTTCAAGAGTACTTATTTCAAAACATGTGCTTAGAACTTTCTCATAATTGGGTCATTTTTAAAGATGGTTCTTGAAGCATGGCCAAAACCAGAGGCAAACCTTCATTAGATAATTCTCAGCATCTCTCACTTTAAGATGAATATGACATCTGGAAACAGTATAGTTGTGCTATATCACTCACTGCATTAATGTGGTTGCCTTGGATCACTGCTTACCCACTGCATCATCTGCTTAGCTTCTACTGAAAGTCATAGCAGAGTAATATGAACAGTAAAGTCTGCCCAGCATGTACCACTGACCATGGGCCATGGGCCATGTTTCGTGAGACTTTGTTTCTAGTTAATAATGTTCCCAGACTTTAACATTTAAGCACAGATATTTATGAGCTCCTGTCTTTAGCTGGTGTTGTTGTTGAAGTCAAGTCCCTGACCTACAAATTAGTTGGCTATTTGCTGCAAACAGGTCCAGGAATTTATTTTGTCATTTCAAAGACTTAGTCTTTTTATGGTTGGTTTTGGTTTTGGTTTTTGGGGATTTTTTTGATGAAGAAGCTTTGGTATCTCTGTGCTCTGGAGCTAGGATTTGAATGCTAAGTGATGTATTCTCTTAGAGTCAGAAATATCCTTTTTCCTCTGTTCTGATTCAAAGTGTTCACTTCTGGCTTTTGACAATCCCATTTTGAATGTGCTCAGCAGAAACTAGGAAGGGTTTTGAACTCAGATGATGTTGACAGCAAGCATACCCTGACAGGACTCAGCAGGATATTGCTGATTGTAGACTGCTCTGCCACACAGCACAGGAACTGAGTGGAGCAGGACTGTCCCAGTGGCTATTGTCTCTGGGACTGAAGAACTGCCTGGCTAGGAGGCAGAAGTGATAAACAAGTTTTCAGGGGCTTTCAAGAAGGAAAATGGGTTCTGATGGTCAAAAGATGAGATGTAAAACTGTCACCAAAAGGATTAAGGGAAAAGTGGAATATGGCTGGCTCCATAATGGTCTACAGAGATGATAAAGAGGAAGGGCTTACAGCAGGAAAGGGGTGGACAGACTGTGTGATCTTGAAGACTTCTCTGAGGCCTGGAGCTGAGCACAGGCTTCCTGTGTTCAATTTCACTGTTTGGTTGTCAGCTGTGGAACCCACCAAAGGGACTTCTCCCAAAACAAGTCCACACAGATATTGAAAGTCATAGACCCTCTGAGAGACAGACTTTCACTGAGGGGACCTAGAGAAGTCACCTTTCTATCCCAAGACCAACTTGGAATCACATCACCCCAAGCTGCAGTATGTTACTGTTGATATTGGCGTTTTGTCCAATGTCTAATCTAAATCTTCCAAGCTGTTCAGTTTATGGCTCTTCATGTGTTATTCCTGATCTTTCCACCAAGAACATATTAATCCCTTATTCTTTTCCACAGCATTTTAGGTGATAACTATTAACCTTCCTTATTCTTGGTTGTTACTTTTTCAGAACCCTCTCTCCCTCCCATTTCTTGCAGCCTTCCCTCATGTTTTCTGGACCTCTGTCAATTTTTACTGATCTCCTCTGCCAACTATTCAATTTTTTTCTTGGAGTACAGTGCACTAAACAGGACATGGTTTTTCAGGTGAATCTGAAAAAACTGTGACTATCAGCCCACATGGTCCCTTTGAATAGTCTTTAAGACCCTTTAGACATCCCAATGTGAAGGCTTTGCCATTCATGCTAAGCTTGTTCCATCACAGTCCCTGGCCTTTCCTCTTGTAAGCTGGTACCTGGACAGTTATGTAAGTACAGATGAGTATTTCTATGTAAGCATTTTGCACTATTGCATTCCATTCATTTTAGATGACTTCTCTAAATATATCAGGATCATTTTAAATTCAAGTTTTTTATCTATAAGATCTGCAGTCCTTCCTTGTTCCATCTGCAAGATTCATACTCATACTTCATATTCCATCTTCTGTGCCTTCATTGAAAACAAAATAAAACTTGAAGTGGGACCAAGGCCCACAGAATTCCTTGAAAAACACACATATTTTGATAGATTATGATGGAATTACCCTGTGGATACAATTATCCAACCAGACTTGACCTCCTGCCCCTTCCCACAGCAGTTTCATTTAGATCACAGTTCACTAGCCTGTTCATGAGGATATTATAGGAAATACTGCTAAAGGCCTTGCAAAAAATTACATAAAATAAATAAATTCAAGTTATGTGACATCTGTGGCTATTACTTAAACCTCCTTTTAATACTCTTAGAGTGAAGATGCTCAGGCTCAGATGACTGGAAGACATCTAACTTAACTGGATACTCTCCAGGCAAGTTTTGCATATTTTAGCCTGAAATTTTACCCCCCTTTTCTGGTAATAATTGAGCTGTCTGCTTGTTGTTGACCTTTTAAGGAAAGATTAATGAAAAGGGGAGAAAAGAGAACATTAAACTCTTTCACTTCCTTAACATCCTCTGCCGTTAGCACACCTCCATCTTTGAGTAGCTGTCCAAACTTCCCTTTGTATTTCTCTTAACACCTTACCTGTAAAATTTCTACTTTTGCTAAGTTTTGCTCGTTGTGTCTAGTGCATTTTGTCTTTACTAACTGTATACACCCCACACACACAACCGCCTATGAATGGAGTATTGTGCTGGGCTCTCAATCAGCTGTTCTAGTTTCTACTTTATAGATCTATCTTGCTCTTATGCTTGAGGTCAATTAAAAGGTTGTTGGTTAGTTGACTTCTGCCAAATTTTCTTACTGTCCTCTAAAATGTCACAGGTTGCACTTGGTTTCTTATTTACATTTCTTGAAGGAACTGACAGCTCTCCTTAATCTGTTTTTCCCATATAATTACCTCTTAGGAGACCTTCCCTACCCATTCCCTGAGTTTATTGACATCTGCCTTCCTGAAATGTAGTGCTGTCAGTCATTCGGATGAAGTGGCAGATGCTGACACTATGTTCACTGCAGTACTGATTTCTTGTAAAATGTCATATCTGGCAGCAGACTTTGAGTCATATGTTACACTGCCCTCTACCTACGTGCAAAACTGCTGCTCAGCTGAGAGAGGAGGTGACAATTACACTATGTATTAGCCATTAAGATTTAGGCTGCTGTTCAGAGTTTATCATAGAGAATAGCAAGAAAAATGTAACTTCAGAGAAACTTTCTGTGAGGCATTAGTAACTGCCCTTTTAATGAATCTCAGTCAATGTGGACAGAGGATCTGTGCTAACGAAGTGTTTGGATGCAAATTCCTCGTGATAATAAATAATCCTGACTAAGGTATGCAATGATCCTTGCCCTACTTTGTTTACTAAAACCTTAGAACATTATGCAGTTATTTCATGGTGCAATGGACAGACAGAAAGACCATAATGGGGGAGAGGAAGAAAGAAGCAATAAACTTCACCTTAAGCCAAAATAGCTGATCAGACCACACTGGACCTTTGCCTTGTAAGAACAGGGACAGAAGCTCTTACTGACATCTAATGCAAAAGCAGTAAGACTTCAGGTCCTACTAAAACCCACCAACATTCTTTAACATTGGTTGAGACCACCTTAGGTACCTAATGGCCTCTCTCATAGGTCAATTAGAGACGGTCAAGAAGTCACAAGAAGCCTGGTGCTTATATTAGAAACCCTTCCTATCACACAATTATTTTTACTGACAATATTGCAATGTGTCTTTACTATCACTTTGAGTCGATTTGGAATCCCTAACCAATGAAAATTTAGTAGCAGTAACCAGTCCCACCTATAGTTTATTGTTATGACAGGTATAAACTAACACAAATGAGGGCATCACACTGACAATGTGGTGTTGGAAGACAGATGAGCAAGCCTTGCCTATAATCAGAATTCCGGTGGCGGTTTAGAGAAATACAAGTTCAATCACTGTTACGTACCGTAGGGAACCGATGTGTGGTGTCCATACGCTATCTAGTGGCTCTGTCGATTATGACATTATCCCTGAATGACTCTTCTGCTTGTAAATTGTAGTATTAAAAAATACTTTGGACGAAATCAGGATTTCTAAGCCTGTAACCATTCCCTGATGAATCTAAGACATTTTGAGGTCACAAGTGATTAATGAAAAAACAAAACCAAAAAGGTAATAAAGCCCATGTTAATATGCAGACAGAACTCTTGATGGGGAGTTCTAGGCAGCCATTCCTGTCATTAACACCATTCTGATGGCACTGGTCAAGTAGTTAAGATCATTCTCCTTTGTATACAGATTATGTTCTAGATTGACTACTAAAAGAACACTCAGTTTAGGGGTGCTTCAAGAATAAGTATTTTCTTTAGTTGCCAGATTATGCAGTATTTTGTGAGGTAAAAGCAGATAATCTAAATACTTTAAGATTAGTATACAGTAATGCAAGGCCAGATGTGTTTTCCTCTAATGGGAAAGCTAATCTCCTTCCCCTGAGACCACAGACTAGGAAGACATGAAGATCATGCACAACAGCATTCTCCTGATCTTCTCTTTCTGCCAGGGATGTGATTGACCTTCAGTAAATCATACGCCCCTTCTGCTTTGTAATTTTTCTGTGGAATGAATATAGTACTGTCCTATGGAAGTGAAAACAGCTTTATAGTTGATCCGTACTTCTGTTGTAAACACTGTATTTTCTATATTAACTGTGTATATATATATATGTATATTTTAAAAAAAAAGTCTGACCCACCATTCTCTCAGCAATTTTGCATTTTCTACTTAATAACTGAGAAAGTTCCCTAGACAGCTTTTAAATCATTTAAGTGCACTTAATTACATATGTGTATTTGTTTTACGAGGCTGAGTAAAGATGTGATGATGCAGGTTTCAGTTTGGGTAGCATTTCTTGAACTGTTCTTTCTAGGAAAGCAGAAATTTTTGTTTTGATCTTTCTTCCTGCATCATGAAATCAAAGGTGCCAACTTCGTTCTTGCTTTTCAGCACATAGTTTTTCTATTCATACATAATGCCAAATGCTTAAAAGCAAGTTTAAAATAGTTATGGTAAATGCAGGTAATGTGAACATTGTTTGCCAACTATTTCCAATACAAAGCTTCTATGGTGCATGTCTTTTGCCACATATAATAGCAGTTAATAAATATGTATATAAATGTGTACCACAGGTAGCTGCTGAACTGAATTAACAGACTGTGCTTGATAAGAAAACCATGACTTTTAAGAGTATTGCATAAAAGTCAGTTCCTTGGTCTTGCCCTTTCATCACAAATAAATCCAAAACTCAGCTTATGCATTGTGCTCATTTTGGCTGGGATAGAGTTAATTCTCCACAGTAGCTAATCTGGGGCTGTGTTTTGGATTTGTGCTGGAAACAGTGTTGATAGCACAGGGATTTTTCATTACTTCTGAGTGGCACTTAAACAGAGTCAAGGCCTTTTCTGCCTCTCATCCCACTCCACCAGCAAAGGGGCTGGGGGTACACAAGGAGCTGGGAGGGGCCACAGCCAGGACAGCTGACCCCAACTGACCAAAGAGATATTCCATGCCATATGGTGTCATGCTCAGCACATAGAGCTAGGGGGGACAAAGGAAGGTGGGGAAGATGTTTGGAATGACAGCATTTTTCTTCCCAAGAAACAGTTACACACGATGGACCCCTGTTCTCCTGACACCCACCTGCCCATGGGAAGTGGTGAAGGAATTCCCTATTTTGCTTTGCTTTCATGCATGGCTTTTGCTTTACCTATTAAACTGTCTTTATCTCAACCCACAAGTTTTTACACTTTGACCCTTCTGATTCTCTCCCCCACCCAAGCACACTGGGGGGGTGAGCCAGCGGTGGTGTGGGGCGTAGTTGCTGGCTGGGGTTAAACTGCAATAGCAGTAAAGCACATAAGAGGTGGCAGGTCTACAGGCAACCTGCTTTAAGTGCTCAAAGCTGAGGAGCTTAACCTCTTCTCCCCTCCTACCCACAAGTACTTATTACACTTTTTTCTGATTCAATATTGACTCTAGATTAATCACCCTCAAAAGAGCTATTTTAAAAAAAAAATGGTGTCACTGAAACAATATTCTTTTAAGATGACTGCTAGAAACAGAGACAGGCTTAAAGATACATCAGAAAATAAGGTACATTTCTCATGAGGACTTCCAGCCTTGTATATCCTATTGGCTGAGTGCACAGACCCCAACCTAATTTCACTGCTTGTACAACCAGCACAAGCCTGGCCACAAAGGTTTCAAATTAAAAAATTAGTACAAGAAAAAAAAAATCTGACACTCAGGATTCATTGCACAAACATTTAAACAGAGGAAATAATTTCTTTTACAAATGTGTTTCTCTTGTACAAGAATAATTTTGTATAGAAAATAGCTCTTTATACATTTTACAGAAATAGGCTAACATTTAGATTCCTTATTAATGAATTATTGAATGCAATATAAGATTTCAGTTATATTTCAGAATCACCAAGCATCAATAACACAGCAATACATCACTTCTCTAATATCCTTAAACTGCTTGACTTGCCAAATATTGAGTCAAGACAGTGAAAACATTCCTAGAGCCACAATAATTTGCAAACACTCAATTATCTTGAAACTGCTAAGTTATGAAATACCTCCTGAAAATAATACCATAATTTATGTGTCAAGGAATATGAACTCAAACCTTAACAAGGCAGCATTACTTGCTCACTTAGGTTATTCTGCAGGCTAATACTGTAAAACCCAAATTGAACAAAAGTTTTAATATTGAACTGGTTTACTGTTAACATCACCTTCAAAACACTCCTGATGTACAGGATACCATCCAGAGGGACCTGAAAAAACTTAAGAAGTGAGTCCATAGGAATCTCATGAGGTTTAACAAGACCAAGTGCAAGGTGCTGCACCTGGGTGGGGACAACCCCTGGTATTAATACAGGCTGGGGATGAACAGATTGAGAGCAGCCCTGACAAGAAGGACTTGAGGGTGCTGATGGATGAGATGCTGGACATGAACTGGCAATACACACTTGCAGCGCAGAAAGCCAATTGTATCCTGGGCTGCATCAAAAGCAGCACGGCCAGCAGGCCTACTCTGCTCTGGTAACACCCCACCAGAGTACTGTGTCCAGCTCTGGAGTCATCAGCACAGGAAAGACATTGGCCTGTGGGAGCCAGTCCAGAGGAAGCCACCAAAGATGACTAGAGGGACGGAGCACCTCTCCTATGAGGAAAGGCTGAGACAGCTGGGGGTGTTCAGTCTGGAAAAGAGAAGGCTTAGGGGTCACCTCACTGCTGCCTTCCAGTACCTGAAGGAAGCTTGCAAAGAAAATGGAGGACTCTTTACAAGAGCATGTAGTGACAAGGGGGAACGGCTTCAAACTGAGAGTAGTTTTATATCAGATATTAGGAAGAAATTCTTTGCTGTGAGTGTGGAGAGGAGAGGGCACAGGTTGCCCAGAAAAGCTGTCACTGCGCCATCCCGGGAAGTGTTTGAAACTATTCCTGGATAGGGAGCAGCTGAGCAACCTGGCCTAGTGGAATGTGTCCCTGCTCATGGCAGGGAGGTTGGAACTAGATGATCTTTAAGGTCTCTTCCAACCCAGGCCATTCTATGATTCCATGATTCAAAATGAGATAGCACAAGCTACTCTAGTAAATGCTATACAGCATTAATACAACATATAAATGTAAATAAAAACACTTCCATTTTCTTTAGAAAACATGGAAGGTAGATGAAAAAAAATCTGTAAATTAAGATATAAAAAGTAAATTTTTGGACAACAAGAAATTGAAAAACACATATATATATATTTATATGTAAGGGTATGCTAGGAAGTACATGTATTTAAAAACACTCAATTTCTTCCAAAACTGTGTTTAAGTCTATGTGGTCTCATGTGGAACTCAAACATAACCCACATTCAAATGTTCCTCCTCTACAATTGCTGTTTCAAGCACTTGTACTTATCTGCAAATTTCCTTGTAAATTCAAGAGAAGGTTATATGGAGTAATCATTTCTTGCTTTCTAGGTAACATTTTAAATAGAAGATGTAAGCAAGTAAGCACTATATAATCCAATGGCTGAAAACATGAAATTTAGATTGTAATGATTCTGTTTAGTGTTCATACACAGCTACTTAGCAGGTTTTTTGCCAGCTGTACCCCACGTGAGTACTGCTGATGCTTCCATGCTTCCCAATTCAAATGTGTAGCTACATCTAGTCAAACATGGCTCTTGCTCCAAGTAAGGGCGCACACACAACTTTCAAACAAATTCAGCTGGGACTGGTACACCTCTCCTTCTCACAGCACAGAGGTTGACATGAGACAGTAATTAATCACATTATACTGGTTCACATTTCCACGTGGTTAGAAGGAGAAACAAACACCCTGCAAATCCTTATTCCAGTGATTTTGCAAATTCTGCATAATCAATGTATCCATCATTGTTCTTATCATCATCCCTTAAGACATCATCTATTAGACTAATCAGCTCTTCTTCTTTCATTGCTTGGGTATGCTCACCACCTTCCTACAAAAACAAAACCACATTGAACAGTTTAGCACTCT